TCACAGACAAAAGTGCCAGAGTTCTTACATGTTTAAAAGACAGCTGTGGTTGAACCCGTGCTTCTATTTGATTTTTTGAATAGAAGTTCTTCTGGCCTTTTACTTACAAATTCTCTTACATTTTTTCAATTAATTAATGCTACACATGCCTCCAAAAGATTTCCCATAGTAGAAAATGATCAATAAGTTAATTTTTACATTAACGAAAAAGCTTGCAATTGCACATTTAAACATGACTGAAGGTGAGGGTTGAGGCACCCAGACATTTAACTCATGTTTCCCACAGCTGACAATAAAGGGTGGCTCAGCTAGACAGAGTGCCTTTCATCTGGAAGAGATGATGGTGTGTGTATGCCGTGTATCCATGTGTGAATGTGTGTGTGTATGTGTGTGTGTGTGAGCACGTATGTGCTTGTGCAGGTAAGTTTGTGTGAACAGGGCATGGGGGGCATTCTCACTAAAATAAAGCAGTTCTTGGCAACTACATCCCAGAAAAGAAATCAAGTATCTTATCTCAAATCAGAAATGAGAATATCTCAGAACATTTCTCTTTCATTTGCATTTACTGATACAAGCTAAACATAGCCTATTACATACACGTGGTACTTTGATCATAAGTGCCCCTGATGACAGGAAGCCAGCTATGTTTGCCAAGCACTCTCCTGAATAAGAAGCTATGTTGGTGTGCTTCCCTCCCCTTTCTCTTACACCCTATACTAACATAAATACTGAGTTTTGACCCCTCTTTCTTAGACTCCATCACCTCTTATCACTTTTTGGCTCTTGCACAAATTTTATGTTAAATTCTGTTCACTTTGATCTAAAGAAAAAAATGTTTATGTGCAAAATATAAATTGATGATTTTACATTTAAAGAGTTTTCCAGTAAAGGAAAATTGAAAAGTTTTCTCTCTTTTTCTGCATGTCACAGAGCACAGTGTTACGGTTTATTTAAATAATACTGATACCAATAACCACACAAATGTGAATGAACAGAAAAGGAAAATATTGCATACCTAAATTAATTTCTGTTACCCTCTATCTTCTTCTCAGTGCTAGTTTCGGTATGATAAATAGGTATGAAGTATAGACTTCCCAAAAACACAATTAAATTGGTGTAATCACTTGTACTCATGTGGTATTCATTTATTTTATGCAGTCTATGTTTTTCATTAAGTCCTTAAATACATTTATATTAAAATTATGGGGGTGTGTTCCTTTAGAAAATAATGTATAAAGAAAACACCTACACGATAAAGTATAAGAAAACGAATGTTTATTTTTATTTTTGTTTGGTA